GAAAGCCGAGAAAATAATTAGCAATCAAGTGTCTGACTCCTTGATAACCTACAGTTGCGTGAGTTTGGTTGTCAGAAGACAAGGATTCAAGCCTCAGTTCTCCCATATGCTGGCTGCATGACTTTGGGTAAGCAAAGCTCTGCTAATAAGGCTGTCAGGCTTTAATTTCTAAAATAGGGATCATACTGCTACTCCTCAGAAGGATGTAGATTGGATGAAGCAACATAAGGGAGAGCATTTCGTAAGACATTATTTCTCTACCTTTTTTCCCTTGGACTCCCTTCTCTCAAAATGTATAGAAATTCATTCTCTACTGTGATCTAATTCTCCCACAGATGGGTCCCGTTTGATATCCCAAATATCAAGGTGTTGTAATCTAACACACACAAAGGATGTAGACCATGTGGAGATGCTACCCCCATTAACACAGGACTCAGGAGAAGGCAATAAGGCAATCACAAAAAAAATCCCCAATCTCAATTCTGTATGAGTGTTAGGTGTTCTCACAAAGGAAAAGGAAATTAGGCAGAATCCAAATACAATACAAAATAGAAAGGACATGGTTTGTTGACAAAAGTAACACTATTCTGTGAAACAAAGGCAGCAATAGGGAGATAGAACAGGATTTTCCAGTGAGAAATAAAAGTTGTTATCAAGGTAATAACAATAGGCATGGTGCTTTGCCTCTTTTTTTTGTTCCAGTTCTTCCAAACCAGGGATACTTTTCAGACCAGGGAGAGCAAATGCATTCAGCTGTTGAAGTGCTGCTACGCTATCAGATTTCAAAGACAGAATCCTCTTTATTCTAAAGGAGACCCATTTCCACATATTAAATATACCTTATTTGAAAATGACATGGAGGATAGAAATGATGAAAATAGTGACAGAGAGGAAGAGTTCTCCCAAGTTACAGATGAGGACTCTGAAATTTAGAGGTTACTCCCTTGCAAAGCCAAGTAGTCTGATCCCAGACTCAGTCTTCTGTCTATACTACAAGAATGCTATGGAAGATGTATTGTCAAAAAATACTTGCACCATTTATCTGAAAATCAGACTAATGTCATCCACAGTATAGCCCAGACACAATAATCATGTGCTGAGTGCTTCATATGCCCCAGGGTATCCTTAATTTACATATATTGACTTATTTAACTCAAAGCAACCCTCTGAGTACATGCCATTATTTCCCTATTTTATAGATGAGGAAACAGAAGCAGAGGGATGTTAAGTAGCTGCCTGAGCTCACACAGCTAAGCATTGCCAGAGCCTGAATTCAAACACAGGCCATTGGCTCCAAATCCCATATTCACAACCACTATTTGATACTGTACATCAAAGACTAAGCATTAATAGCTACCCCAAAAACCTGACAAACATCTATGATTTCTTAAGCCCCACTTGGAGCCTCACTGACTCTTAACATCTAATTCTTAACAAGCCTGCAAAGAACTTTCACGTGCAAGGCTAGCAGGATCTGGCCTGTGCCTCCAGCTCCACCTTCATCTTCTGCCATTTTCCCTATGCTCCAGCCTCAAGCCTGCTTTGGTGACCTCCTTGGAGCCTTGGTACCTGCTATTCCCTTTGCCTAGAATGTTCTTTTCATCATTCCATGCCTGGTGACCTCCTACTTGCACTTTAGACCTCAATTTAAATGTCACTTCCTCATGGAACTTTACCATCATTCTGCTTTTTTATAACACTTTACTATCAGAGCACTTACCACACAGTTATAGACTTGTTTGTGTGATTACTGGATTTATAAGGGCAAGAGTAGAGGCAGTTCTGCTCACCACTGTATTAAGTGTACATGCTCTGGAACATAATGGTTGTGGAATAAATATTTGTTGGCTGCATTAATTAGTGACACCATTGCACATTAATCTTCATAATAATGCTGGAAGATGAGTGGACAATGGTAGCATTAAACTCATTTTAAACATGAGGGTACTCAAGACCTGAAATATTTAGAGTGATTTGCCGTAACACTACTCCTGAAGTGATGGAGCTAGAATTCAACTCATTCAAGGTCAGGTGGGTCAAGAGCCCCGTGCTGTCTTTTATCCACCTGATGCGATGAAATAATGAAGCGTGCTGTTTTCCATAGCAAATAAGTTGCAGACTCACAAGATTAGGCAAGCATACCGTCAAAACCAGATCTAGGCCCCTTTACCTTTCTCATTTCCCCAGAATCAGAAAACACGAATATTGTTTTTGATTGATAGTCACTGAAAGTCCAGTTTTAGGCACTCTATAGAATAAGGCCTTGGTTCCAAACATTATCTAACAACATAGAAGGTCAAATTCAAGCAATTTCGAGTTGTCCTTGTAGACCAAAAACCTCGATGAAATTGACTCAGCATTTGTTTAGAGTCGACAGAAACAGTAACCAAATGCACAGGGGAAAAAAAAAAAAAAAAAAAAAAAAAAAAAAAAAACAGTCCACTTGCCCTTCATCAGGGCATTGACCTTTCAGCCCTGGGATTCTTCACCAGAAAATGAGAAGCACGCCTGTAATCCCAGCACTTTGGGAGACCGAGGCAGGTGGATCACGAGGCCAGGAGATAGAGACCATCCTGGTTAACACAGTGAAACCCCGTCTCTACTAAAAATACAAAAAATTAGCCGGGCGCAGTGGCGGGCACCTGTGGTCCCAGCTACTCGGGAGGCTGAGGCAGGAGAATGGCGTGAACCTGGGAGGCAAAGCTTGCAGTGAGCCGAGATTGCGCCACTGCACTCCAATCTGGGCCACACAGCAAGACTCCGTCTCAAAAAAAAAAAAAAAAAAAAGAAAAGAAAAGAAAATGAGAAGCATGGATTTGGTGATCTCTAAGTTTTTTTTCTTCTCTGAATGCATGGTCTTCCAAATACACTAGTAGATTTGACTGCTCACAATTGAGTAAGAATACTTTTGGGATACTAATTTTTTTCATATATTTTCCTCCTTCCTATTTAAGGTAGAAGTCTCCTCCTCCTGGCTGAGCATGAAAAAAAAAAAGAAGGTGGAAGTCAAGGTATCCATCTTTTAGAGATGGTGTGAGGCAGGTGTTATGCTCAGGGTTAGGTTTCAGCCCCGGCTGAGGGGAGTGGGTGGGAGACTGAGGGACATGCGGCAGGGAGCTGGAAGAACACTTGAGAGACAGCAGATAGATGAGACATGGCTTCATTCAGCAGCTTCCTCACAGGGTGTTACTTTTATACATTGCACAAACAATCGAGGCTGAGAGCCAGGTGGTGAGCTTCTGTTATGTCTACATGGCTATGCCTATGTAAGACACGGGACTGTGTGCCTGTGCCACAAACCCGCCGAGTCATCCAGGTTGTTTACCTTGGCCTGTGCCTGCTGCCCTGTGCCTGCTTGGCTGCAGCATAGCCATGTTCCTTACAACAGGCCAGAACTCAAAAGCTGCCTGCATACAATTCCTTTGCCAGGTTTGTTTTCCCTCCCCACCCCCCAAAACACCCAAGACCCTATAGGGGGAAGAATTTGAGAAATAAAGTTGAAGACAAAGAGGTCTGTAAATCTGGAGAGCAAATGACACATAGACTGCTCCCTGGCTGTATGGCAGCCACACCTGATAGCAGTAGCTTAAGCATGTCCGTAGAATGACGCTCTACAGCAGATGCATCTGAATGTGTGTTCAAAGACAAGGAATTCAGGAGTGGCCAACCCAGAGATTCATTCCTTGCCTATGTGGAATACCTGAGCCAATGGTCGACCCAAGGAACACGGGACATACAGGGGAATGAGACCCAGAGTTTAAGGTTAAATAAAGGTTGCCAGGAGGTGGTTAGAGGGAGGGTGCTGTTTGCAAATGGTTTCAAGGGGTTCAGTATCATGCTATCGACTCCAATGGCTATAGCACCAGGCTCAAGAGGCTGAAGAGGCCCAGAGCCAACAAGTAAAACATGGGGTTTTATTGTGGACTTACCTACAGAGGAGAGAGTTCAGTGGCGGCAGGCCAGGCAGGAGAACCACACAGTCTCATAGTGGCAGGCTGGGCAAGGTAGCCACCTTACATAGGCCAGTGGCGGTGGGCCGGACATGATAACTGCACAGCCAGCGATGGTGAGCTGGGCAGGAAAGCCGCCACCGCTTGCGAACGGCTTGCAGTTTATATAGAAATTTACTTAACACCCTGCCCCTAACAACCTCCACCTGGCAACCTTCATTTAACCCAGAATTCAGGGCCTCAATCTCCTGTCTGGCTCACGTTCCACGGGTCGGCTGGTGGCTCAGCTATTCCTCATAGACAAGGAATAATCTCCAGGTTGGCCCCTCCCAGATTCCCTAGTTTGGAACACACATTCAGGTGCACCTGCCATACAGGGTCATTCTAAGGTTATGCTTAAGTTATTGCTTTCAGGTGCATTTACCCTGCAGGGAGGTAAGTTTGAGCAAGAGTATGCTGTGAGGTTGGGAGCTTCAAAAACTGAAATCAAGCTTATTTCCAGAAAACAAAAATTAAATGCAGTATTTCCTGGATTTCTGAGTTAGTTAACAGTAATTCCTATCAATTCAATATGTAACCTGTATCAAGACCAATGAGATGTAGTTGTAATGAGCAGACTTGCAGAGGAGAAAATGGCACAGAGCAAACTATCCTGAGAGCTGGATGAGAACAGCAGAAAAGAACACTCCCCCTGCTATTGTGAAGAGGGTAGATATAGCTTTGTCTGGGTAAGAATTTGCTTTACTTTTAACAGTGTACAATTCAGTCATTATTTTCTGCCGTCTTAGAGCCCAGCACTTAATAGATATTAAATGATTAATTCATTTTAATTTTTAGTTACTGGTAGAATTGTTCATTTAAGTTATGTCACTATATTAAGAAATGTCTCAGGAATAAATTTTCTATGTTCCTATAACCATAACTACTTTGGCCAGACTGGTTTTTGGCATCTCATATCTCTCATTGTCAACTGAAAGTACACATCTCATAATTGAAGAGAAGCACCAGCTAACATCCCCAATAAAGACAAATCACTTGCAAATACATTAACAGAGTTTCTCGTCATGCTTTTATTATAAGGAATAATGACTTGAGAGGTGAATACTTCAGATCAATTAAGAATAGTAAACATTTCCATTTTATGCTCTAAAATTAACACAACAATGTGAATAAGAAACAGAAGTACAATCTCCATTTTTATAAATCCAGAAGACATAAAACAGAGAACCACAACATATTAGGATGGAAAAATGATGGAATAGGAACACCCATCTAGCCAAGAAACAAGCCAGCTTAATACAAACAATTCTTAAGAATTACACCTGGTGAGGCAGCAGGCACAGGTGAGGAAGCAGGCTAGAAGAAAAAAAGAGAAATTAGTTAGAAGTGGTGTAAGAAACAATTAGACTCCAGATCATTCCCCCACACTAACAGGTGAAAGTGCCTCCAATCCCTGAAGGTGATGGGCAGCATATTCTAGGGGAAAATAAATAAGAGACTACAGAAGTGAGGACACCGGGCAAAAATGAGATGCTGAACTAAAACCAGGAGCTAATTTTAAAGTTTATGTGCTGAACAGAAACCCTCAGACTCTCTTTCCCTGAGCAGTTTCAGAACTCTAGCAGTCCAGTCTTTACCCCTCAAGCAGTAGACTGGATGCTATTTTCTGGTAAAATTGAACCACCCCAGAATAAAAGACAGTAAGAAATTACCATATAAGGGTTTCCAATTAAAAAGCAGAATACTCATTTGGTTGTCCTTTGAGGCTGCTATAGTTTGGATCTGTGTCCTCACCCAAATATCATGTTGAAATATAATCCCCAATACTGGAGGTGGGCCTGGTGGGAGATAATTGGATCATGGGAGAAGTTTCTCATGGTTTAACACCATCCCCGCCCCCCATAATGATAATGAGTTCTCATGAGATCTTGTTTAAAAGTTGATAGCACCTTCCCGTTCTCTCTCCTGGTCATGCTCCTGTCATGTAACATGTTTGCTCCCACTTTGCCTCCGTGATTGTAAGTTTCCCAAGGCCTCCCAGGAAGTAGATGCTGCCATGCTTCTTGTACCTCCTGCAGAGTTGTGAGCCAATTAAACCTCTTTTCTTTATAAATTGCCCAGTCTCACATAGATCTTTATAGCAGTGCAAGAATGGACTAACACAAAAAAACTGGTTTTGAGGAGTGGAGTATTGCTATAAAGATACCTGAAAATGTGGAAGCAGCTTTGCAACTGGGTAATAACCAGAGGTTGAAAGTGTGTGGAGGGCTCAGAAGAAGACAGGAGAATGAGGGAAAATTTGGAACTTTCTAGAGACTTCTTAAATAGTTGTGACCAAAATGCTGATAGTGATATGGACAATGAAGTACAGACCGAAGAGGTCTCAGATGAAAATGAGAAACTTACTAGGAACTGAAGGTCACTCTTGCTATGCTTTAGCAAAGAGTTTGGTTGGACTATGCCCCTGCCATGGGGATCTGTGGAACTTTGACCTTGAGAGAGATGATTTAGGGTATCTGGTGGAAACAATTTCTAAGCAGCAAAGTATTCAACATACAGCTTGGCTGCTTCTAAAAACCTATACTTATAAGTATGAGCAAAGAAATGACCTGAAGCTGGAACTTACATTTAAAAGAGAAGCAGAGCACAAAAGTTTGGAAAATTTGCAGGCTGGCCACGTGATTGAAAAGAAAAGCCCATTTTCAGGGTAGGAATTCAAGCAGGTTGCAGAAATTTGCATAGTGAGCCAAGTGCTAATATCCAAGACAATGAGGAGAAGGCCTTGAAGGCATTTCAGAGAGATTTCCAGCAGCCCCTTCCATCACAGACCCAGGAGAGAAGAGTGGTTTCATGGGCCAGGCCCAGGGCCTTGCCATCCTGCACAGCCTCAGGACATTGCTCCCTGTGTCCTGGCCACTCTAGCTCCATGGCTCGAAGAGGCCCAGGTACAGCTTGAACCACTGCTTCAGAGAGTGCAAACTGTAAGCCCTAGCAGTTTCCATGTGGTGGTAAGCCTGCATGTGCACAGAGTGCAAGAGTTGAGGCTTGGCCGAGCAATCAGACAAGAGAAGGAAAGAAAAGGCATCCAAATTGTCAAAGAGGAAGTCAAACTGTTGCTGTTTGCCGATGATATGACTGTATGCCTAGAAAACTGTAAAAACTCCTCCAAAAAGCTCCCAGAACTTATAAAAGAATTCAGCAAAGTTTCCAGATACAAAACTAATGTACACAAATCAGTAGCTCTCCTATACACCAACAGCAACCAAGCAGAGAATCAAATCAAGAACTCAACCCGTTTTATAATAGCTGCAAATATATATATATATATATATATATATATATATATATATATATATATAGAATCCTTAGGAATATACCTAACCAAGGAGGTGAAAGACTTCTACAAGGAAAACTACAAAACACTGTTGAAAGAAATCATAGATGATACAAACAAATGGAAACATATTCCATGCTCATGAATGGGTAGAAGCAATATTGTGAAAATGACCATACTGCCAAAAGCAATCTACATACACATTCAATGCAATTCCCATCAAAATACCACCCTCATTCTTCACAGAACTAGAAAAAAAATCCTAAAATTCGTATGGAACCAAAAAAGAGCCCACATAGCCAAACCAAGACTAAGAAAAAAGAACAAATCTGGAGGCATCACACTACCTGATTTCAAACTATGCTCTAAGGCCATAGTCACCAAAACAGCATGGTACTGGTATAAAAATAGGTAGATGGACCAATGGAACAGAATACAGAACCCAGAAATAAACCCAAATACTTATAGCCAACTTATCTTTGACAAAGGAAACTCATCTTTGATAAAGCAAAAAAATACGAGGTGGGGAATGGATGCCCTATTCAACACATGGTACTGGAATAATTGGCTAGCCACATGTAGGAGAATGAAACTGGATCTTCATCTCTCACCTTATGCAAAAATCAACTCAAGATGAATCAAGGACTTAGATGTAAGACCTGAAACTATAAAAATTCTAGAAGATAACATCGGAAAATCCTTTCTAGACATGGCTTAGGCAAGGATTTTATGACCAAGAACCCAAAAGCAATGCAATTAAAAAAAAAACAGCTAGTGCTGAATCAAACTAAAGAGCCTTTGCATGGCAAAATGAACAGTCAGCAAAGTAAACAGATAACCCACAAAGTGGGAGAAAATCTTCACAATCTATCTGTCTGACAAAGGACTAATATCCAGGATCTCCAATGAACTTAAATTAGCAAGAAAAACACAAACAATCCCATCAAAAAGGGGGCTAAGGACATGAACAGACAATACTCAAAAGAAGATATACAAATGGCCAAGAAACATATGAAAAATGCTTAACATTACTAATGATCAGGGAAATGCAAGTCAAAACCACAATGTGATACCACCTTACTCCTGCAAGAATGGCCATAATCAAAAAATCAAAAAATAATAGATGTTGGCATGGATGTGGTGAACAGGGAACACCTCTACACTGCTGATGGGAATGTAAACTAGTACAACCACTAAGGAAAACAGTTTGAAGTTTCCTTAAAGAACTGAAAGTAGAACTACCATTCAATCCAGCAATCTCACTACTAGGTATCTACACAGAGGAAAAGAAGTCATTATACAAAATGGATACTCACACATGCATGTTTATAGCAACGCAATTCACAATTGCAAAATCATGGAACCAACCCAAATGCCCATCAATCAACGAGTGGATAGAGAAACTGGTATATAGATACAATGGAATACTACTCAGCCATAAAAAAAGAATGAATTAATGGCATTTGCAGCAACCTGGATGAGATTGGAGACTATTATTCTAAGCTAAGTAACTCAGGAATGGAAATCCAAACATATGTTCTCATTCATAAGTGAGCTAAGCTATAAGGATGCAAAGGCATAACAATGACACAATGGACTTTGGGGAATCAGGGGAAAAGGATGGGAAGCGGTGAGGGATAAAAGACTACAAATTGAGTGCAGTGTATACTGCTCCAGTGATGAGTGCATCAAAATCTCACAAATCACCACTAAAGAACATACTCATGTAACCAAACACCACCTGTTTTCCAATAACCTATGGCAATTAAAAAAAAAAAATTAAAAAAGAGTTGAGGCTTGGGAGCCTCCACCTAGATTTCAGAGGATGTAAAGAAAAACCTAGATGTTTAGGCAGAAGGCTGCTGCAGAGGCACAGCCCTCAGAGAGAACCTTTACTAGGGCAGTGCAGAGGGGAAATATGGGGTTGGATCCCCCATACCATGTCCCCATTGGAGAACTACCTAGTGAAGCTATGAGAAGAGGATCACCATCCTCTAGTCCCCAGAATGATAGATCCACCAACAGCTTGCACCATGTACCTGGAAAAGCTGCAGGCACTCAACACCACCCGTGAGAGCAGCCTCAGGGGCTGAACACTGAAAAACCACAGTGGTGGAGCTTCCCAAGGCTTTGGGAGCTCACTCCTTGCATCAGTGTGCTCTGGATGTGAGATATGGGGTCAAAGGAGATTATTTTGGAGCTTTAAAGTTTAATGACTGACCTTCTGGGTTTTGGGCTTGCACGGGGCCTGTAGCCCCTTTCTCTTGGCTGATTTCTCCCTTTTGGAATGGGATTATTTACCCAATGCCTATACCCCCATCGTACTTGGAAGTAACTAACTTGTTTTTCATTTTACAGGCTCATATGTTGAAGGGACTTGCCTTGTGTCAGAGGAGATTTTGGACTTTTGAGTTAATTCTGGAATGAGTTGCAACTTTGGGAGACTGTTGGGAAGGCATGGTTGTATTTTGCAATGTGAGAAGAACATGAGATTTGGGAGGGGCCAAGGGCAGATTGATATGGTTTTGATGTGTCCTCACCTAAATCTCATGTTGAAATGTAACCCCCACTGCTGGAGGTGGGGCCTATTGAGAGGTGATTGGATCATGGGGGCAGTTTCTCATGGTTTAACAACATCCCTCCCTGGTGCTGTCAGAGAAATAGTGAGTTCTCATGAGATCTGGTTGTTTACAAGTCTACAGCACCTCCCAACTCTCTCTTGGTCCTTCTCCTGCCATAGAAGCCACCTGTTCCCACTTTGTCTTCTGCCATGATTGTAACTTTCCTGAGGTCTTCCCAGAAGTAGATGTTGCCATGCTTCCTGTACAGCCCAGGAAACCATGAGCCAATTAAACCTCTTTTCTTTATAAATTACCCAGTCTCAGATATTTCTTTATAGCAGTGCAAGAATGGACTAATACAAAGGCCCATCAGTCAGCAATATCAATGCACAGTGGTTTTCAATAAGTTTTTAGCTATCACTATTAAACATGAATAGACAGCCATAGATCATTAGAAGCAAAGGAACAATGTCTCCAACATGAATGGCAGAGAGAAAAACAAACAGGGAATTTGGATAAAACAAATAATGCAGAAAATGAGAAAAACCTTTAAAAATAATTACATTATCATCAGAGGGAAAATAAAAGCTATAGGATTCATGAAAAAGAATAAGATGCTATGTCATAAAGGATTAGTTAGAGAAGAAAAGGACGTTTAGTAACTAAAACTACAATAACCAATAAAAATTTCAGCGAAATGGTAGTAAAATCAAGGAACTCCTCTAGAAAGTAAAAACAAGAAGAAGGAAAATAGAACAAAACTAAGAAAATTAGAACATCAGTGCAGGAGATTCATCATATCCATATAGTCCAAGTTGAAGGGGAAAAAAATCACAAGAAAATTTCTCAGTGTAGTTTGATTAAAATGGTTCACCAAATGCCCAGACCAATAAATGGAAAAGATCAGGGTAAGGTATACATTCCGAAATTTCAGAATACCAGGAATAAGAGAAAATCCTAAATTTCCACAGGGAGGGAAAAACGTTCACAAAGTTTCAGGAGTCTGCATTACATTCCATATCTCAGCAGCAGCTTTGGAAGCTAGAAAACCATGGAGCCTGAAGAGAAAATCAGTTTTACTAAAAAGTTTGTGCCCAGGCAAGCTGTCAATTAAGTATGAAGGCAGAAGAAAAAAGGCATCAGGTGCACAAATTTTCAAAACAATTCCTTCCCTTGGACCTTTTCTAAGGAAACTACAGAAGGATGTGCTCCATTAAAACAAGAGAGTCACCAAGAAAAAGAAAAGCAAGTGAAGAAAGAAAAGCAAAGAGAATTTTCAGAAAGGTGGTGAAATGAAAGGCAAACATAATAGTTGTGAATTAGACCAAGCTAGTAACTAGTCCAGAACAGGACAAGGAAGGTGAGAAAAAATATCTACACGATAAGATGAAACAAATTTTATCTGATAAGTTTATGTGAAATTGAATTAAGAGGCATTTTACAATGGTAATGGAGGTGAGGGAAATTATCAATGGGTTCAAAAACATACAAGCAAATGGAAGAAGAGAGAGAGTATGAGAAGAAAGAAGAGAATTATAATCTCCAGAAACTGTAGTCACTTGGCTTACTTGAATCTAGATTTAACCAAACTACATGAAATAATCAGTGGATTTTAAAAAGTTGAAAAAGAGACAAAACTCTATTCTGCTACAGGAAGTCAAAGATGTCTAAAACTGAAGACTAAAGCTATAGATATATACATATATTATTTGAAAATATGGGGATAAATACAGAAAACATAGGTTAAAAAATTATTGGTGGATGTCTCTGGAAAGGAGACCAGCAATGGTCAGGGGAACCAGTGGGAACGGAAATAAAATAAAGGTCTAAAATAAAATAGAGGTATTTGGGGATTTTATATGATTTTTAGCATTATGTATGCATCCTTTTCATAAAAAATATAAATTGTTTAAAGACAGCTAATTCCAGGACTTCAGCATAGGTTCTTAATAACAAATATAATAATATGGCCGAACGCGGTGGCTCACACCTGCAATCCCAGCACTTTGGTACGCTGAGGTGGGAGGATCACGAGGTCAGGAGTTCGAGACCAGCCTGACCAAAAGGTAAAACCCCGTCTCTACTAAAAATACAAAAATTAGCTGGGCGTGGTGGCACATGCCTGTAATCCCAGCTACTCAGGAGGCTGAGGCAGGAGAGTCTCTTGAACACGGGAGGTGGAGGTTGCAGTGAGCTGAGATCATGCCACTGCACTCCAGCCTGGGCAACAAAACTAGACTCCATCTCAAAAAAAAAAAAAAGAAGAAGAAGAAGAAATATAATAATATGAATAAAATCCAAACTCACAGTACTTGAAAACCTTAAACACATTTTCCTTTCATCGTGAGTACTACTGATATCCTTTTACTTGAAAGAAAATCAATGATTCCTCTTAAATGAGGGAAGTCATGAAATTGCTTCTTTACTACTCCAGTAAATATCAGCCAGCCTGATGATCAACAAAGTACTTTGTTAATGTTTTTATTATTCTAAAAAGAAAACCACTATTTGGGGAGCTTCTGAACATTTTTGAGGGCCTTTGGAACAACCCTATTTGCAAAACTACCAGGATATATCTTTCAATCACATCAGTGTAAAGCAATTATCCAATCATTGCTTTCGGAGAAAAATGGGAGGCCACCTCATATCCAAATGAAAACAGTACTGCCTGAGATGTTCACTGTTGAGCATAGTCATGTAAACTGAAGGTTTGTATAACTGAACTGTATCCTTGAGAGAACAGAAATGGAATTCCCAGAGGAAGGATTATTATTATACACAAGGTTCTCTATGCTTCCCTCCCCCCACTCAGACACATGCACAATCACATAGGATTATTTAAGTCTGGATGACCAACATTTTCAAAAGTATGTGGACTACTGTGATTGTTCAGACTGAAACAGAAAGTCTACACTGGGCTGTGATTTGAGGCAGTTAAGTAAGATCACTATGTTTGTGTTTGGAGCAAATTGGAAGAAAAGGGATGATCCTGGACACAAAAAGTTGATGCTAGAACAGCTCTTGATCTAGCATTGTGAGGAATGACTGCAGGGGCAGAGTTGTGGCAGACAGGGCCTCAACCGTTATGACAGCCCCTGCCAAGGACGTGGTCTTGCACAGTAACCTCAATTACCTGATCTTAGAGGTAATGATGTGCTCCAGCAGAACCAGAAGTAGCAGCAAAGAAACTGGGATTTTTCAGCAGCCTGAACAAACACTTTAACTGGTCACTTTGGACTTAGTAGGTAAACTTGGTGTTCCAGGAAACATTAGAGAAGAAACTTTCTGTAGAAAAATGAACTTTTCATACATCTCAATGGATTGAGACACTATGCTACATTCATTTGAATGGTAATTATGTTGTAGTCTTTTTATATCCTAAGCTAATGAGATATATGTAGCAGTTTGTTTTATATTGATGTTATAGGTTGTGGGGGTGGACACAGGTGGAGTAATTTTTCAAGAACACCTTTAATTCAACCACTCAGAATAAGCACTGTTGGTATTCGGGGATATACACCTTCACAAATGTTTCTTGTGTAAATATACAAAAACAGATGTGAGGCAGAGTTAGTGCCCCCAAAATTAGTTCATACTTTGCAAACTGTTGTATCATCTTTTTTCAGTTAAAAAGATCAAATATAGATCCACATCATTTATAGTAATTGAATTATATTTCATCAAATCAACATGCCATAATTTTAATCAGTTCTATGTTAATGAATAATTTGAATATCTTTCACTTTAAATTATTGTAAATAGCATTGTAGAGATCATCTATTATGTCTACTCCTTATATCACTACCCTCATGATATCTTCTAGAACTGTTGCAATGGCTTCATTAATAATATCATTTTGTCTAGTCTTGGCTCTTTCACAGTGATCCTCTACTCAATAACAGTCTTTCTAAACTAACTTTCAATATGAAATAATGTCCAAGTTACAAACATGACAGAGGACTCTTCATGACCTAGACTCTATTGATATTCCTTGTTATGTGCACAGTACTCTTTTTACAACCTAATATAAAGATCAATCTGTTTAGAGAGGGCTACCCTCTCCAACATGTTCTCAACTATAGTGTTCAGTCATAGGAAGCATTCATTAGTTATATAAACTCACAACATGACCCACCAGAGCTATCCCTAGAATGTGCAGGGCCCTGGGCGATATTTTATTTTAAAACGCATTGCGAAATTCATGGGTCCATGTGAGTTACAATAATGACAATAATGACTAATCAAGAATTATTAAAGAAAAGGTAAAGAAAGGTATTTAGATTGACTTACTGTCCAATCAGTGCATGTGAAGGCTCTTCAGAGTGCCTAGGCACCAGGTCTTTCTGTTCAGGCCCATCAATGCCATATTTCTCACCGTGAAAAAAATAGCCATGTACTTTTTCTCAATGCCCTAGCTACTCAGAATCTCTTTGTATTGAAATAACATAGATGTGTTTGCCTTTGCAGTCCCCTAATGCTGTTTATTTAGAGCTAGTTATATCATTCCTCATGATGCTGCATCATCTATCGCACTGCCTGTGAAGCTGGCTTCTAACAGATTATCTTAAAGGTTGTTATTGCACTTCATTGGTGAAGGCCATAAATGTAAAATTTACCCACAGTAATAAAGAAAAATATGGACAAAAATTTGTTTTCTAGCCATGTTAAATTTATCCCTCAAAATTCAATAAAATAAACATAGAACAACATATCTTCCAACTATGTCTTCCCTCTAAATCACAGCATTCTTAGAATGTGAACTCTTCATGGTAACCACACACCTGCGTTCCACACATTGCCACCTATAAGGAGAATAGTTGGCGGTCTGGGGATGCTGTAAAAGGAGCAGTCCTGTTCACAAAGGGAATGGTAATCCCTTGTCCAGGACAGCTTATGGCCAACCTCAGAGAGTACCATATCAACACCTTGATTGGAGGCAAGAGAGAACATGGATCGGAAGGGCCCACTGGTGTCACAAAACAAAGGTCTCCAAAGTCCACGGAAGCCATACGCACATCATGCCTGGAAGACTAACAATTGGTGTGCAAACTGAAGAAGGGTGAAGTGACCATTCTGGGTGCTAATGGAGGAAGGTACTGAGGGGAAATGACACGTCTCCCCACCTTGACCCCTGCCACATCGTGCTGTAGACTACAAGTGGCACCATGGTCAAGACACATGATGGAGGCAAGAGAAGACACACGAGGCACACATATGGCTCAAGCCCAAGGTGGACCATCGAAGCCCAGACCTCAGAACTCAACCTGGGTCTGATGTGATGAAAGTCACCCAAGGTTAGTGTATTAGCATTATTCTGGTGGTCTGATACCATGTGATCCCACAAAACGTATCACAGTGAAGCAATCCTCCCTCTTGGAAACAGCCCAGCTACAGGACCCCAGGTCAACCCACAGGCACAGTTCTGGAAGTCACTGGGGCCATCTCTCTTTTTTTTTTTTTCTGGACATTGAGTCTCACTCTGTTACCCAGGCTGGATGGCAGTGATGCAATCTTGACTCACTGCAACCTTCGCTCCTGGGTTCAAGCAATTTTCCTGCCTCAGCCTCCCAAGTAGCTAGGATTACAGGCATGCACCACCACACTCAGCTAATTTTTTGTATTTTTAGTAGAGACAGGGTTTCGCCATGTTGACCAGGCTGGTCTCGAACTCCTGACATCAAATAATCCACCTGCCTCGGCCTCCCAAAGTGCTGGGATTACAGGTGCCTGGCACCCAAGAGGGTCTTAGAATTTTTGATGAAAGTACTCCAAAGCCTAGGGTCCAGGCAGGGGTCCTGCTTGCCCAGGTCTAAGAAAGTGCTATTGTTCACATTCTACTACATATCTCATTCATTTCACAATCTGTAGTTGAATACCCCTTATTAAAAAAAAATTAGGAAGATAGAGTTCTGTTCTCAGTTTGGAACAATCTTATTTTTTCTTTATAAGCTTGCTTTTCACATAAGTTTGCCTAGTGAGCCATGAGATAAATCAAGCACAGCTGAGTGTCTGACTAGGACTACTGATATAAATATTTGCCCAAAATTTGAAATAAAAAATTCTGTTTCTCAAAAAGTTAAACATAGAATTACTATACAACCCAGCAATTCCACTCATACGTATATACCCAGAAGAACTGAAAAGAGCTACTCAAGCAAATGCATGTACAGGCATGTTTATAGTAGCATTATTCACAACAGCCAAAAGGCGGAAACAATCCATATATGTATCAATGGATGAACTGATAGACAAGTTATGGTGTAGACAGACAATGGAATATTATTCAACCATTAAAAGGAAAAAGGTACTGATACAGGCTACAACATGACTGAACCTCAAAAACATCATGTAAGCAAAAGAAGCCAGACATAAAGGACAAATAGTGTATGATTCCATTTATATGAAACATCCAGAATAAGTAAATCCATAGAGACAATGCAGATTGATGGTTGCCACAAGCAGTGGGGAGGAAAAAATGAAAAGTAACTGTTTAATAGGTAGGAGTTTTCCTTTGGGGTGACAAAAATATTTTGGAACTAAGTAGAAGTGATGATTGCACAACATTGTGAATAGATTAAATGCCAATGAATTGCTCACTTTAAATTAGCTAATTTTATGTTCGGTAGATTTCACTCCAATTTTTTTTATCTTAACCATTAAGATATTTGTTTTCAGGCCAGGTATGCTGGCTCACATCTGTAGTCCCAGCACTTTGAGACGCCAAAGGGAGAGAATCACTTGAGCCCAGGGGTTTAGACACCAGCCTGGGCAACATGGTGAGACGCTGTTGCTACAAAAAATTTTTAAAATAGCCAGGCCTGGTGGCACATACCTGTGGTCCCAGCTACTCCAGGGCCGAGGTGGGAGGACAGATTGAGCCCAGTAGATCAAGGCTGCAGTGAGCCAAGATCACACCACTGTACTCCGGCCTGGGTAACAGTGCAAGACCTTGTCTCAAAAAAAAATAAAAATAAATAAATAAAGGTATTTGTTTTCAACTTAGTTGATAATAAGTTATACTCAAACACAAAATCAGATCAACTGTGATGATCTGTAATGATGTTAAAGGCTATTTTTTTTTTATGGAACAAAATATCACTGAGAAAAAACCCCAAAGACTTGGTGATTGTTGTCAGAGAAAAGAAATAACGTTGAGGGGAAAGGTTGCTGAAGAGAAAAAAAAAATCTATAGAAAAAAAGAACTAGAAAGAAAGAAATTATATTTGCTTCTTAAGAAAGTAATCTTTTTATCAAGAGTTTTTTTCCATAAGATATTGGGGTACAGGTGGTATTTGGTTACATGAGTAAGTTCTTTAGTGGTGATTTGTGAGATTTTTGGTGCACCCATATTTATATGGGAAAAGAAACACACATCAGCAGTTGACCTTGGAAACTATAGAACAATCAGAAGTCTACTTTGTAACCAAAACCCTAAAAATACTACCTTAGCATGATGGTCCTCCATAAAGATAGTTGCTGTCTGTTCAACAAATATATTACCACCAAAGAGATAAAAGCAAGTACAATCTACAAATTTACAGTGTTTCTCTGTACATTGTTCAAAAGATAGAATTCACTGAAAGGATGAAGCAGGCAATGTGATTAATTCATAGATGAGTTCAATCTTATTACAGCCATTACCTTCTAAGTGAAGATATAATGCAAACAATGCTGTATTTTTTAGACTGCTGTTATCAATTCCAGATATTAAAATAATTATTTTAAGCTGTTATAGCCTACAGCCAAAATGAAATAGCACAGGAACTATAAAGCTTTGTAAAACAAAACATGTAAGTAGTCAAACTAGGCTTATCACACCCCTGGCAGATAAAAAGGCTGATCATCAATCAAGAAATAAGCACATTAATCCTGAAGGAACAAAATTTGCATTTCTATAATGGGAAATTACTACTGCACTAAAAGATCTTGTTGAAAAAACTTAATGTATTTCTCCCAAAAACAATTTTTTAAAGATACTTCAATGCTGGGATTTCTTTTGCACACACAAAAAAAGAAATAAAAATCATCTACTTTCGTAGTATAGTAAATTTTTAGGAGTAATTGTTCTTCAACAGAGATAGAAAGCTCCACTATTAATGTGCATGATTTTCTAGATAATATTAAAAGCAATGCAATTACAGTTATGGTAATTGATATGGTTCTTACCTGATAATGATCATGGGTCAAGAGTTTAAAACATAAAGCAGAACATGCTTTGCACTTTTTAAAGTCAAGTGAGCGATTGAAACTTGGCTTTGATATGAAAGACAGTGGACTCTTTCTGCCCTAACTGCTTGAGGTAGAAGTCAGGGCAGAGTGTTGCTTAGAAATCCCGTGTCCCTTCTTTCATTTACACTCTTATCTTCCTCAAACCAGAACTGTTCTTTCCTTAGGAAAAGAGTGTAATTCTCAGTTATCTGGGCAAATGAGGAGTCATGCATAACGAGGATAAATCAATTTCACAGTTAATCTCAAACCCCTGTTTCAGCCCCGTTTTATTAGTGTCCTAGGCTTCCTTAATAAATTGACTAAACAGAATCTGTAGGTTAAGATAAATAAATAATTTATTTAATTCATTCAGAGTGACAGCACCTTGTAAAATTGTGGAGACCTCTCAAGGTCCCATAGTGCCATTTTTTTTTCCAGCTGCTACTGCACTCCCGGACTTGAAGCCCGGTTCTGCCCTTTCTGACAGGGGAAGCAGAATGCAGAACAGTTTAATTAGACCATTTGGACTGTTCATTTGCTTGGGTATTTATGAACCGAGTCCAATGGAGCCAGAAAATTTACTCAGGTGTAAGAAACGAGGAGAAAGATCATTACCTTTGATGTGGCAGATAATGGCAATCTCTAAGAAAAAAAACCTCAAAGGAAAGTCAACTTTTAAATAACCTGGAGACCACAGTTTAATGTGTTTTGGACAGTACTTAAGATCACTGTTAAGGCTTTAATGACGTTACATGATTCTTTCTATGAACCAGAAACAAAAACCATGGCATCATCATATTAAAACACTGATATATTGACACACTGATACAGATTTAAAAATCGGTGACTGGACAGGAGAATATTAACAGTATTGTTAATAAAGTTTATCTTGGGGTGCTGAAATTATGAAATATTCAGTAGTTATTTATATTTTTAATTTTCTGTAAATAAACATATTGCCTTTATAATAAGAAAAAATCAATGATGATTTGCTTCTTAATTTTAAAAATTAATAGCATATATTTTTATTGAACTGGAATTTCTAACTATTTTTCAAACTGTCTTCTCCAGGGGGAGAAGCAGAGTACACAGATATTCAGGCTGCTTGTCCAAACTTCAGTTTTATTTTGTTTATTAAAATTCCACTTAATATTTCTATTTAAAAAAAACATGGTTCCACTGCTTTAAAAAAAACACACACACACAGCTGGAAGTCATTAATGTGTTTCAAATAGTTCCTAAAATTTACTGTATGCAAAATTCTGTGTTACGTAAACTGAGTTACATAGGAGTTGTGATTTTCTGTTGTGTACATACACACGCACACTCATTTCTCTTTAATCACTATTCTTTTTTCCTTCCATGAGTAAACCTCAGTCCTATTCTGTTTTTTTCATTTCCTGCTCACCTTAATTCTACATTTCAAAAGCCTAGAAACTAAGTGAGCAAGGACAGAAATGTCTTCAGAGGATGAGAGAAGGCAAACACTACTATTCTACATGGTGTCCTTCAGTATGTGGAAGCAGAGGGAGAAAACAGTCAACTGAAAAGTTTTGGG